TTCTCGTATGGTATGCAACTCCTCTCATGCTGTATAATTGGAAGGTTGTAATAAATTATGTCGGTTACATTCATGTGCCTGGCGGTAGTTATGGCTGAAACGGTCATTAATTTCAACGGCTTAGCTTGATGGTCGTTCACGTGCGGCTGTAAGTTCCGCGCTAGCAGTAGACCCGACTGTTCAAAGAAGGCGGTGAGCAAAATGGTGAGTTCTGTGAAAATGGCAAATGGCTCCATCTAAAAAGATCGCAAGGTACAATGCAACTTTAAGACCAGGAAGAGATTATCCTAACGTGAAGTGTTCAAGGTGTGCATTAAGTATGCGAAAAACCGTTTCAATTCCAGACGGGAATCTGTAGCCAACTGTGAATGGGTGAGCCAACGCTTTTACCTACATACTTTGACAGAGGCGAATGCCATGACAGATTTCAACCCTTGGTCTAGCCATGTCAGTTGCGAACTAACGAGGAGTGAGGAGTTGGTATTAAACAATGAATAGCCCTTGGGTACCGATCAACCTATTAGGAGCCGAGATTCTCAACTCGGGTCTTTTTTCAGATCTCTCCTTTCTTCTGCTATACGCTATACGCTTCTGCTTCTTGCTATTTCTTCTGCTAATTCTTGCCAATAATGATGTGCACAGATAGACATGTAGAACTAAGCCTTTGAATTTTGCACGATTCAGACTATGAGGGAAATTATTAGGCTCAGATCACCACAGCTGAGCTTTGGATGTTCGTTTCCATTTTTGCTGTTCTCTTCAAATTCGTTCAAGTTTCTAACTCAAAACAGGTTCGGTTCTCTACAAAACAAAAACAGCGATACTATAATGTGAGGCCATTTATTGTTATTATTATAAATTGAGTTCAGTTAGAAGTTTGTGCTTGACATTGTGCTACGCCGTATTCGAACTGGAGATTGAATTCAGTGGTGGTGATGTGAAAGACTCTCGTGCGGCCTCGCCTCTGCTATATCGTGATTCCAGTACTGCGTGACGGTCTTGCATTGCGTGTAGAAGTGAACTCCGGCCTGGAAAACATTTCAATTACTTAATTTCTTCTCTTTTGCGGGAGCGATCTGATCAACTTACTTTTCCGTAGTAGTTCAGGTCACCTCTGAATGATCCACGTGATCCAGTGAATGAAAACACGGGTAGAGGGATTGGGACGGGAACGTTCACACCAATTTGGCCATTGTCTGCTTCGTTGACGAATCTAATTCGACAGTTGTAATCTTCCAATATCTACGAATCAAAAAAAAAGGAAACTTACCTCCTGGCGGCAGCGCCGTTTGATGTGAAGATGACTGCTCCGTTTCCGTATTTATTTTTGTTGATGATATCAATGGCTTCATCCAGGTTATCGGCATCTATGAGAACAAGAACGGGACCGAAAATTTCTTCCTGAAATTTTGAGCTCGATTATTGATCACTAAATCGTACTTCCCTCTTTCCCGGTTTTGTGCCAAATATGCTTTGCTAGAAAAGATCGACTAATGCTAAATGCTAATGCTACTTCAGTGTGCTCTCTGATGTATGCCAAACCTGATAGCACTTCATGTTTGTTTTGGCTTGTGCGATGACTGTCGTTCCAACAAAGTTACCATTTTCGAAACCTGGGCAGACGTAATCGCTTCCATCAAGTACGATGTTGGCCCCTTCCTGTAAAATTCGGAATTCGACATTGTAACTAACCACTCAAACTCTTGTAAAAATGAACCTGCTTTGCACTCTTGATGAGAGCAACGGCGCGATCCTTTGCAGCCTTTGAAATTAAAGGACCAATATCCGTTTCTGGCTTCCATCCTTAAAAAATTTAAGTTATACTAAAACCACAGATCTTCTCTTTTCTATCGAGGGGAAACGTCCATTCACTACCTTGAAGGCACATTTCACGATATGAATAGTTTTCGAAATTTCTCTTCCAGTCTTNTTTTCTATCGAGGGGAAACGTCCATTCACTACCTTGAAGGCACATTTCACGATATGAATAGTTTTCGAAATTTCTCTTCAAGTCTTTTCGAGAGGTGTTTCAAAAATATCACCTGACCCTTTTTTCCGAATGTTGCGAAATTCCTTTGTCTTCTTGAATGTTGGTTTTATTTTTCATCTTGACGACTTGTAGGCTCCTATCATTATTCACACTGGGTAATATCATCATCATAGACGTGTAGTAAGAGTAAAATTCTTCCTAACTTTGTCCTGAAACCCCCGAATCTAGCGTAAGGGCGGCGTTTAGTCGAAAAACGACTCAGATAGGGCTAAAAGGGCCCAGGAACGGCTTAGCCGGCCTAAACACAAAGAGAGGACGAGTTCTCACGGTGTTAGAGAGGCTGTAGAAATTGTAGCATTTGCAGCGGAACACACACGTTTGCACGCAGGCAGCCAGTTCTACGTGGTGGCACACACCATTGGACAGCTCGTCCAAATACACCTTCCACGTGCAACATCTGTCATCACTTTCTCGAACCTCTGATTTTTCGACTATTCGAAAGCCTTATACTTTTCCTGAAGCGCCCGTTTCTGCGTTTTCTTGGGCTATCAAATCTACTATTTGTCTAGATTAAGTACCCCGAACTCATCGTGTGCCAGATACGCAATCAAGACACCACTACGATTCTGAATGGAAGTGAATGCGGGGGCGCATCCTTCAGACGGAATTGATGAAAGCCCGAGTACTTCAAGACTACCTTAAATTACTTCTAGTTATAATGATAGAAGTGTTCAAATCGTTTTAATACTGCGATGGCAAGGGAAGATGTGGTGGTTGACGAGCGCATCGTTGAATGTCTCCAAGAAACATACCGCTGCATAATGGGAAACTTGCAGAACCCTTTCAAATTGTGAAAGTTAAATTCGGCCAACTAGGCGCCGACCTCATCGAACGGTGATGCAATTATGATGAAGCTCGACCCATACCCAAAACAATACGTTGCTCTCTTCGTAGCGTCATTTCGTTAATAAATCACGTCTGAATGATGGGCTCCCATATTTGACTTCTATTCAAAATCGCAGTGGCGACTTGATTTCGTGTGTGGCCTGCAACACAACGACTTGTCGTGGCCAGCCAATGTACAAGTCAAAACTTTAACCCTCCCCTACGAATCTGGTACGAATAAATTGACTGGAGGGATGGAAGGATCGGTTGGCCATGGTGGATATCTCTGGGTGGACACCATCTCCTCTCTTGAAAAAAGATTAGTCTCAGGATTATCAAGCATAGGTGAAAACCAGGGAAATTTTTTATAATGCTACTGGGCACGGATGTGATGAGACTACTTCAAGAAGAAGAAATGTGCTCACTGATTGATGTTATGTTAAACTTTCACTTGATGAAACATTAAGTAGGATATGAACCGTCCATCTAAAACGTATCGGATAACGCTATAGAACCTCGAAATTATTTAACTCGTCATTGGGGTGAATTCATCAAATCCGCTCGAAAAACAGAACAAACCTGGGCCGACAACTAGCTTTTTGGCTTTCTCGACGATCTCGGGAACCCAAGAGCGAGCCTCCCCAACTAAGATCGCCGTCGTCAATGCCATACACCGTTGTCCTGCCATTCCGAACGCACCAGATATTACCTGAATAAATTTTTACTTCAAGAACAACTTTCGCTGGGTGGGACGGCCATATAGCCACGGTCCTCTACACGTATTCAACACCCTCTAGCACTTCTGGCTGGATACGATCATTGGAGAAAGATGAAAGAACCTGGTTGATTGTTTGTTCTTTGTTACAGTCTGGCATGACCACTCCGTGGCACTTAGCTCCCATGTTGGCCTGGATACGCTTTCCATTTTTAGCTCCACGCTCATAGATGTATTTACCCTGGAATCAATTGAGATGAGGCGTGTGAGATAGAAGATAGGAGTCCATCCCCAGACAACACTCTCATCGATGACTCCTCATAAGAAGTTTCATGAAATTTCTGACATTGCCCTATTATGGGCAGTGAAGTTCGATGAAATCGTCGTACACCTACCGCATTATCGCCTCCAACGAAAGAGATCGCCTTAATATCAGGATGGTCGCAGATGAAATTCACGGTGTCATGCATACCATGGATCACGTTGATGACTCCGTCAGGAATTCCAGCCTCCTGAAAACCACACCCGTGAATGGTTGACAAGATTACTTGAGCGTAATCGATCTCACCTTGGCCAGTTCCATAAGCATCAAAGTCGCTCCAGGATCTTGTTCTGATGGCTTTATCACCATGGTGTTACCAGTAGCAATTGCGAGGGGGAACATCCACAAGGTGACCATAACCGGGAAGTTGAATGGACAAATACCACCAACAACTCCCAATGGCATACGGATTGAGTATGTATCCATATCACGTGATACACTGCAATTAAGGTAATTTGAAGGGGAAAAGGTATGAAAGTACGGATAAATTTTACTTTGGAAGGGTCTCTCCAAGCATGAGGGATGGCGTTGAGCAGGCATGTTCGACCGTCTTAAAAGTAATTTTCAGAACTTGATGATACGCACCAGAATTCTCCGTCCGTAAATAATTTTGTGCTCACCTGAATACCTCTGGCTACGTCTCTTTCGGAATCGGACATATTCTTTCCTTGTTCTAGCACGATGTTCTCTGCGAGTTTCTTCTGATCACGCCTGATGAGTGCTTGGAGACGGAACAGTGTCTGTTGGCGCATTAAAGGAGAACTGAAAGGGAGGAAGGAGACGTAAAAGGAATGGATTACGTTCACTTCTAATTGGGAATTGAACGTACGTGTTCTTCCAAGAGTTGAAAGCCTTCTGACAGGACGCCACAGCAGTCTCCATTTCTGATTGTGTGCATTTTGGAACTTTACCGATGACCTCATTTGTGGCCTAAATCGGAGGAAAGTTTACGGAGAAAAACCTTAAATGCTGAGGGATCTTATAAAAGGGATTTCATAAGTTCTGTTGCAGAGACTTAGGCCTATCACCATGAGATTCGAAGACGTTCTCAAATGAAATGAAGTTTTTTTTGCTACGATAGAAACCAGTCTTTGCCGGTGAGCAGATGAAGTGATCCTATAGTTGGTCGAGTGGGGACAGACTTTGTAGTGTGTTGTAACTAATCCACACATACGAATAGCAGAAAGAAGCAGAAAAAGGGCAAATGAACGTTTGTATGAAGAAAATCTATAATGACGTGATGTAGAGATATTATGAGTTGATAAGTAGAGTATGGTTACTACTGTCAATGAATGCAGGTATCGGACTTACTGGATTAGTTAGATCAATCCAGTCATTGGTTTTGGACTCAACAGGTCGTCCATCTATCCACATCTTCACCGTTTGCTCTGCAAATGCAGCCCTACTTGTTGAAATGAAGGCATATTGTTGGCCGACAGCAGCCTGTAATTGAAGCGTAGTTGTTCATGCTGAAGAGACATCAAAGAGCAAAAACACTCTGATCCTTCCACCACCATCACACTGAAGGGACAAGCGCGCACCGAATGGCTTTCATTTCTATGAGACGATGCAAAGTGCACGGCGCAACCGATAGAGTGTAGAGTTTGTATAGCTTCGACTCTTTTTACCTACCTACATAGTCATTATGATTTCACCCAAGGTAGCTCCCTGATTAACCACTCACGTTTCCCACCGTAAACTACTTCGTGACACTCATCAGCCCTCTTCTCACGCGTTCAGGTGCCGTGGGGTTTTCAGGAAGGTAATCTGCTACCACTACTGCCTCCGGTTCGTTCGTGCCCGAAGAAAGGGGTGCATTATACGGGGGAGAACGTACTAAATGTGTATGTGGAGTGCTGCCAAGTCTTTTTGAGAGATATGCTTGGAACCGAAGTGTACAATCAATTCTCAAGTATCGCCAAGCAAATTTCTGAGAACTGAAGGGATCTTTTGGCATTATAAATGCATAGGCCGATCCCATACATTATGGTCTTCAGGAACTCAAGCAGATGCCTGATAAGTTTGAACGGTTTGCTTGCCCTACGTTCGCTACCGATGAATATACTTCTACCTTTGGTCACCTTAGCTGACAAACGCACAAGATGGTCCATACAACTCCAAGTGTAACCGTAATAAATGGATTGTCAAAATTTCGTGAATAGATCAGTGATTAGGATGTAAGAACTATGCTTTCTGAGGACTTGCTATAAGCTCGATACCAACTCTGCCGTCACGTAGAGTCCGTTCAGGTTGGATAATTTGTCTGTATTCTGATTGCGCGAGATGGTTATAATCTAGTGATCAAGCCGGTCACTAAGAAGGAAGTGACTGAGTAAAAGTTTTTGACTACATCCGATTTTATCTATTAGTGCCGCATGAGGCATGGGTAGTCCCTTTCCAGGACATTATTCTACAACCAATTGTTCCCAGTATTTGACAAAACTCCTGACCGTTCAATGCATTCAATGCACCCACTCAGTTTGATAAGCAGTACGATCTAGTAAAAGTCCCAAACCTGATGCAGGAGTCAAAATTACCCCGGGGGTATACTTGGGGGTATATGCTGTCTAGCTCACCGACTTTTACGGTTTACCCTTAGGTGCTAACACAGTACATAGGGTCATGCCACGCTGATGATTACCTCTAAGTTACTCAAACCCATGAATGAGGAAATGAACAGACTGCTGTACACATGCTATTTACCAAATTTCATAGCTACTGGATTCCTATCGATTGATGGGCTTCGGTCTTGCTCATGTTACTCAACAACTGGTCCCCTGTGATAAAGGTTCGGACAACAAACCTCTTGACTCGTACACTACGGAATAGCCGCTACTATAAGCCCATGTTCTACATCCACACATCCTTGAAGGTGAACTTCTTCATGTGAAATCTCTTCATAAAGCATCTTCTCTGTTTCAAATTTTACAGAGCACACTTCATCTCAAGAGACTCACATGGCAATCATCATGCAAATTCTGTCCCGCTTAGGCAAAAAAGAATGTTATGGTTACTAACCTACGGGTCACGAGCCCCACCTATCACCTACCATGATATACAGTACCTTCGATACCGAAGCGGAAGCGTAATCATTGATATTCCACGATATGACACACACTCTACCCATTCCCTTGACTACATTACTTTCAACAAAAAAGTTTATCACTCAAAAGCGGACGTACCGGTAGTCTTGCCACACGCAGGAGCATTATTGTAGCAGAGGTCCCTGAAATTGGAAAGTGCAAATGGAAGCAGGAAAAAGGGATGGATGAAAACGCTGGTTTATACAGCATGCCTCAAAACAAATGACCAGAAGAACGTCAAAATGAGACCGAGGGAATGTCTGAGACCTAGCGAACCCTGCGATGGGACAGAGAATAAAAAGGAGGAATGTCTGGGGCCGTTTGCTAAGAGCGATCTAGCGACGATACTGACTGTACCAGTAGCTATTGAAGTAGTAAGGCATGGAAGAGGTGATTAGTAGGCGGAGAACTGGGCGGGAAACCGAGAGGCAAGGTGAACCGCTCGTTGAAAACAAGAGTAGAGCTACTACTAAGTTGTTTGTCATAAGGAACGTTTGAACGAGGTGACTGATAGGTGAAGGGCCAGACGAGACACGAGGCATGGGCTCAAGAAACCTTCATCGAAAACAAACCTTTGGTTACCTCGTTTGTTTATGACTTGAACCATTCGAATGAGAACTCCACAAAAAACAGACATGCATGTTCTTTGACTGTTGTCCTTTCTCAAGATCAAGTGAGAAAAAACATTGCTCGTAAAGTTTCTATAAAATCGAGTTCATTCAAAATCAGAAGCGTTAAGTATACACTGTTTAAAAATCACATCATGGAGACAGTTGATGTGGAGCATCGGCTTCAATGATAGCAGATTTTTGAAAGTTGTGTGAAGCAGGGAAGTAGCCCCGGGTGAACTTTCACTTAGTTACAAAATTCCTGGGAATCTACAAAGATATTTGTGACTGCAATTCATTCTTCTTGGGGAATCGGAAGCAATATCTCTGAAATGATATCGGGTGCGCTTACAATGTGCCATGCTCGTGTTCATTATGGTGGTAATGGTTACACTAGGAATACCTCACAATCAATACAACTGCATCATTTAAAACAACTATCAGCCGCATGTGTGCGAAAAGCTTTCTCATGAGCTGATGTCGTGGCCAGTTGGGCTCCATCACATAGTTTGGGATCGAATTCCGGCCCATCATGCGCCTGGGCCAGCGAAGACTCTCATCCCTTCGGAACCTGAAAAGCTCAACGAATGCTAAGATATTCAAATCTAGGACCACTCTCCTGAAACCTTTTCTTAAACGGATCCGCAGTGAGCTTCGTCACCTCGTTTGAAAAGAAGAATGAAAAACAATCGTGCACTCGTTAACCTGGATGTTTTCATAGCCTACATGCAGTGCTCATAAAAATGAGTTTCAGCGTTGCAGTTTGTTTGGCGTCAATTCCGGACATCATCTAAGGGGGCGCCAGATGAAACCATTGAGTACGATCATTTACAAACCTCCATCGGCAACCTTCGTCACCCGAAAGAAGTATGGAGTGTTCTCAAGTCACTTGACGGCTTTCATATTTTTCCGTACGGTGAAATCTCTAGTTCTCTTTTTCCTTTCATCCAAAAGCAATTTTATGATGTAGAGGGTATCACTGTATTTTATGAAGCCCTCGGCACAGCCTCTGGGAAAAATCCGTTGTGATTGCGATCCAAAAATTTCTATACTCAATCTTATCTCCACCTTGTGACGAGTCCTTCGAAGGGAATTCGTTCTGGCCACATGTAGCACGGCGGCCGACTGTTTTTTCGTTGTAGTCAAAGTTCAGATGCAACTCACACAATCTAACAAGTTCTTTAAAGAGCCGGCAGTGATATTCCTCTACTGGAATTGAATTTTTCTTCAAATTTTGCGATCGCATCACCGAAACCATTTGCTTTTACAAGCTCTCCATTGGAAAGCACGTGTGTGATGGGGTCGTAAACAGTTTTTTTGATGTTTTACGTGTGTAAAAAAAGTGTTCCTCAGGTGCAAAGCGTACTGTAGCTACTCATAATTTTGGCGTACACGTAAAAGTAATCAAATTATATGCATCAACTCATCATATCATGGTTGAAGACCTTATTCTCCTGAACGATGTATAAATATTTGATAGGTGTTACGGCTAAGAGAACGCTCACTAGACATTGCTAACCAGCGATAATCGACATAAACGCTAGAGCAACGAAGTGGGATATACCAGATTGATGCTGAAGTCTTGAGACATAAATTTACATCGTCTTTTCAACATAAGAACTTTTACCGCCCTCGGATTACCATTACGTACTAGATAATATCAGAGTTACCTTCAATAATATTCAAAAAGTTTCGTGAGCGCTTCTCTCGCAAATTATGCCGTTGAGAAATTGAGATTAATTGAGAAATCATCTTCAAGTAATCTTCTTTTACAAATGGCGAAGCGGTTCTAGTGCTTGTTCTGCTGCCTCCAATTCCAACACTGCACTCGGTGAGAACTTCACCAGCTATCATTGAGCGTTTATTCGCTCGCTTTTATTCTGGAGATACAATACTCGAAAATCTTCGCTCCTGACGACCAATATCAACAATGGGCAACAACATCACAGTGCAGTGAGAAGGAAGCCGGAGGGCTGGAAGCAGTATTTGGCAGTTTCCCGGGTGCGATTCGAATGTTCGAGCACTTTTATGTGTACGGTTACAGAAGAGTTGCTTCAACTCCAGACTTTCGCTCATGCAATAAGAAAAAGCGGTGTAGGTCATAGGAACTTGGATAGTAATTAACCACTGACCACGTTAACCACTCTCCCTGTGTTCCCATAGTATATTTCCATTCAAATCGTATAAGGATTTTGAAAGCGCTTGAATGTAGTGTGAGAGTGGAAGACTGTGGTTGACTTGCTATGGCCAGCCATTTCCACTGGTCAACGCTTTTCTCCTATCAGAAGGGTGTGGTACCAATTAAGCGACCCCAGAGCTTGGAAGCTTTGGTTGAACTAGGCGAATAGAGATAAGGGATCCTATCCCAGACGATGCGTGTGTGATAGTACGCCACTGGTCACGACGCCAACTCTGCTCTTTGATAAGGATGAAAAATATTATGGTATGCCCTAGAAGTGTTCCGAGACTAAGGATTCTATGCAAATTCAAATTCAGATTTTAAACGTCGCATTAACGTTGGTATACAAAGTATCCTTTTTCTACGCTATTTTCAGAAACTTCAGGGTAGTGATGTCTTGAAGTTCAGGTATTCTCATTAACGCTTATTAGACACAGCTATAGCATCGGAAGAGGTCCGAAATTGGGAGTCGACAACCAAGGAAAGATGTTGAGGGGATCGGGAACCTTCCCAAATGTTGTAATTTGTAGTCAGTACTCTGGATATCATACTTCACTGTACGCCTAACTACTATGCACCACTTTCTACCTGTAAATTTTAACTCAGCAACTCAAAAGCTAGTTATTAACTGCGTCGCTTCACTCATT